AAAAAAAAAAAAAAAGACATATAAATTTTTAAAAATTTTGGCCAGGCCTGGTGGCTCATGCCTATAATCATAGCACTTTGGGAGGCTGAGCCAGGAGGATTGCTTAAAGCCAGGAGTTAGAGACCAGCCTGAGCACAATTGAGACCCTGTCTCTACAAAAATATAGAAAAATGAGCCAGGCATAGTGGCGCAGGCTTATAGTCCCAGCTGCTCAGGAGGCTGAGGCGGGAGGATTGCTGGAGCCTAGGAGTTTAAGGTTGCAGTGAGCTATGATGATACTGCTGTACTCTAGCCCAGGTGACAGAGTGAGACCCTGTCTCTCTCACACACAAAAAAAGCCAAATTTTTATCTCAACTCATATCTGAGCTAATAAGGAAGCTCTCTATACATACACAAAATTAAATTGCACTTCTTTGTTTATGTTTGCTTTATTATTTATTGTGGTAAAAATACATAACAAAATTGGCTTTGTTTTGTAACATGCAACATAGAAAAAAACAAACAAAAAAAATAAAAACAACAACAAAAAAAGAAAAAAGAGAAATAAAATAAAACCAACATGCAGCATAGAACAGAGGAAAGGGGCCAGTGGAGTCAGATGGCTGCTTTCAAATCTTGGCTTCAGCACTGTTCCAGGGAGCTGCTTTAGGCACATCAGTTAACCTTCTGAACCTCAGTTTCCGCATTTGTAAAAGGAAATAAAAATAATTTCTTTGTAGGGTTGTTCTGAGGGTTAGAAATAATACGTTTCTCAACAAATGTCAAGGGAATGAAATCACAGAGCAAATTTCTGACCGCAGTGCAGTTAAGTTACATGCCAGTGACAAAGTATAACTAGAAAACCCGCTTTATTTGGAAATTAAGTAACACACTTCTAATCACATATGTGGCTGGAATGATATATGTGAATGAATAGTGGGGTGCTTGGTATGTGGTGGGTACACGGTAAACACTAGCCGTGATTAGAATTGGTGTTACTGCAATGCCAGATTATAATGTTAATTCGAAGCATATCTGTTTATTAGTGCCTACCCGCTATTTCTGCTGCTGCTTCTCTCCACCCTAATCCAGCACCAGAAAGTACAAAGATGTGTATAGTGAGCCCTTTAGACAAAGGGGCTACGTGGTGTGTTAAAAGACTGTCAGAGTGTAGGCTCTGGCGTCAGGCTGCCTGCCACTTCATGGGACTGGTCATGAACCCTTTGGCAGCTGCACTAGCTGCTGCCAACCTTGGGTTTCTCATCTAGAATGGGACTCACAGTTGTGTTCTCCCGATAGGGTTGCTGTGAGAGCAAAAGGAGAAAGTGTCTTTGTGGTCAGCCAGACCCTGGCACATAGTAATTCTCCGTACTTGAATCTGCGTGTCAGTGGCGGGGAAGAGAAAAGGGGAGGGAGGCAGGGAGGATAGGGGCACAAACTAGTGAACAAGCTTGAATGTATGTATAGAAATGGGCTTGGACTAGGTGACCTCTCCTAGCCCTTCTAGCTCTGAAATTCTGTGAAGACCCTGTTGGACCTTGGAAAGGAGACAAATCCTCCAGCTCTGGCTGAGTTGCAAAGGTGTTTCCTGTGATTTTTGCCCTCAGAACAGCTCTCTGCTGACAAAGGGTTCTTGTTGGCCTGAGGCTGGGCGGACATCATCACCCTGGACTCTGATTCTGCTGAGGGAAGGAAGTGCCAGTAAGACTAAAACAGACAGCAGTGCACAGAGGGTTCCAGGTAACAGGATGGTGCACCAGTCTTACAAAATGGTCCTGTGTGCCTCCAATTCATTATCTTGATGATAATGAACGTGTCACTCTGTCTGATAACTAGAACAGATTCACACAGTTTTCTTCTCTACATCCTGTTCTCTGGAAATTGATTTTTCTCATCACGAACTTACGTAAGAATTGAAGGTCGTGAGAAACACTTGGTAATGAGACTTTCCTCAGAAGTCAGCCTCAGGATATGTTCTGTCTGCAGCTTGGAGCCCGAAGGGACATGGTGGTCAAGCGAGGCTGCTGGCACGTGAGGCCTGAGCCACATTGGGGTCTCTCCTCTCCCTCCACCTCCTGACTCCCCCAGCAGTTACTTTCACAAGGAGGCCTGGCTCTCAGCAGCCCAGCCCAGCACTTCTGGGTGGATCTGCCTGTTAAATGTCTCCAGACGTCTCCATCTCTACCACCACACCCCCCAGTCCACGAGACCCTTTCTTACCTCCTGCGTGGTTTCCCTCCCGCCATCCTGGCCCTCTGCAGTCTGTTTTCCACCCTGCCGCCAGGGTCCCATTTTAAAATGAAATCTAATTATGTCACCCCAATTAAACCTTTCCAGGGGCTTTCTTTCCTTTAGGATAAAGGCTGAAATCCTTACAATGGCCTGAAAGATCCTGTGCAATCAGGGTCCCTGCTTCCCTCTCCAGCCTCATCTTCTGCCATCCTCTTCTTCCCTCTTGCACTC